GGCCTTGCAGGTCCACCGCTGGGCCTCTCATGGGGCTCGGCAGTGGAGCTGCAAGGCCGGCGGCGGCGGCCGGGACCGTTGGGGGCGGGGTGTGTGGCCTTATGACACACTTCCGGTGATGTCAGGGGGTGTGGCCTCATGACACACTTCCGGTGATGTCAGGGGGTGTGGCATATGCTAATGAGTTATGCTAATGAGTTCCCCTAGCTTGTTTTCTACGAAACGACCCCTGGCACATAGTACTCCTGCAGTGCACTGAGCTGCACAGGCCAAGTACCAGCAAGATCACCCTGAGGTACTCAGAACAACACAGTTTCCATATGAGCAAAACAATCCAGGAACACAAGTAGAGAGGCCATCACTTTCGTGGAAGGTGGCAGGAGTTGACTTAACAGACGACTGCTTCTTAAATGGACAGTTCTATGTGGCCTGCTCCAGAGTGAGCTCATCAAGCAGCCTGGTGATCCTAGCTCCTGAGGGCAGAACCACCAGTGTGGTCTAGAGAGAGGTCCTTCAATAGAGAGAGAAAAATTACGTATGTCTCACTTCACTTCTTACACTACAATCTTCTCTGTTAGAATTCCTACAAGAAATGTCACATTTCAAATTTCACATCATCAGTATTATAACTGGATTTACGAAACTTAAATACCATAGCGAAGCACGGGTAGCAGGCTAGTATTCAATAAGAAGAGTTCAGGGGTAAAAGGTATAGTACATTTTAACATTTTTTGTATCATTTTATGGATCCAGGCCCAATATTTTTAACTCTATCACATGTCCACCACATATGAAAAACGATCCGGCAACTTTTTTACATTTCCAACAAGCCTTAGATAATTCAGGGTAAAATGCTGCTAACATATCTGGAGTCATATACCATCTATAAAACATTTTATTTATATTCTCTTTATATGAGATTGCTTTGGTAATTTTTACGTTCACTTTCCATAACTGGGACCACTGTTCTAAGTCAATACTATGCCTTATGTTTTGTGCCCATTTAATCATGGAGTTTTTGACTATTTCATCTTGTGTTTTGTCTTCCAACAATATTACATAGAGTTTTGAAATTAATTTTTCATCAGAATACAGAACTATCTTATCTATTTCCATTACTTTTGAACAAAAGCCTATTGTTTTATCTTTAGCATATCTTGATTGAATTTGTGCTATTTCCCACCAACTGAGATCAGAGTTTAGGGCTTTAATATTTTCAGTTGATTTTAGTTCATTTTTATTATCTAAAAGGTCATCATATTTTAGCAAGAAAGTCTTTGCAACTAAATTTGGGTTAGTAAAAACTTCCAGTGGGGAAACCCATTTTGGAATCTTGGTATAAAAAGGCTTTTTAACTTCTCCCCATACCTTCAATAGAACTTTCCTAATAAGATTTTGTTTAAAATATTTGTGAAACTCTGCTTTTCCATACCAAGCAAACGCGTGCCATCCCAGTAATAAATCATGCCCCTCAAAGGCTGGGATTCTGGGAGTTTCTAGCATGATCCATTCTCTCAACCATGTCAGTGATGCTGCTTTATAGTATAGCAACCAGCCTGAAATGTGAAACCAGCTCTTTCTTTTGCGTCCTGTAGTGCTTTCAATTTTATTCTTGGTTTCTTTCCTTGCCATATAAAATGTTTCATCAGTTTATCAAGTTCCACAAAATATTTCTGGTTTCTGGCTTTCACCGTTGTGCACATGACCAATCCTGTGCTAAATATATTAAATGCATGATGTAATGTAATTTATTCTTGTTCCATCCGAATAAAAGTACTTTGCTGAAATCACTCAACGCTTCTCAGTACTTTTCACATGAACACTCAAGCGCACATAAAACAGCACTTGGTTACACATCGGTAGTTCATTTTGTTCGATGCGGCACTATTTTTTGTTTTTTAAATTGTGCTGCACCATCACTTAGACAGCGCGGCTGTCTGGACAGTACCTGGAGCCTCGTCGCACAATGCAAGCAGTTGGGCAAGGGATGTGTGATCATCTGAACCCGCTAAAAAATATTCCTGAACAAATCTACAGCAGGAACAAATTGCGGTAAGCTTGCCGTGTGACCACACCCTAAATCTTCAGTGCTTATTCTACTGTGTGTTCTTGGACTTTGACCCTTGCTCTATCATGTTTTTTCCCTTAGCTTGCATCTTTCTTAATGCAGTATCATTATCAGTTCTGGACTTGCAGTCCATTTATGTATCTGATTCAGCTACTAGTTGGCCTTGGAACAGATATTCTTCAAGAATATTAAGCATGCCTCTTGACCTGTACTTGCAGGACCTTACTTATAATTCAGAAACACACTTTCTCAGTCAGGTACTTACAGGAGAGGATTGTCAGGATGGTTGACCTCCTTTTATGCTGAATGTTATATGTAGATGGTGAAATTCCTGTCAGGAGTGCATTTTTACAGCCATTTTGGGCGAGTGGTTAAGTGCAGGGACTCTAATCTGGGAGAACCGGGTTTGATTCCCCACTCCTCCACTTGCACCTGGCTGGATGACCTTGGCCAAGCCATAGTTCTGATAAGAGCTGTTCTTGAAAAATAACAGTTTCTGTCAAGAGCTCTCTCAGCCCCACCTACCTCACAGGGTGTCTGTTGTGGGGAGAGGAAGGGAAAGGAGTTTGTAAGCCGCTCTGAGACACCTTTGGGTAGTGAAGAGCGGGGTATAAATCCAATCTCTTCTTCTTCTTCTTCTTCTACTAGGGATGCTGCTGAGTTTGATCTGTTGTGCAAGAGTCAGGAAGTGCAGTTGTGAATGAGTAGGGCAGAATGCATTATTCAGTGTTGGAGAGGCAGGAGAAGATTACTGAAGGGAGGAAATGGAACATTGCTAGAAATGACCAGAGAGAAAGAAAAGAACAATAAAGGGCTAAATATGGTTGAGGTGTGTGTGTTTTCTCTTCCTGAATTGCACATGTGTAAATAACATAAAAAGAAGCTGCTGCCCATGCTCATAAACCCCTGTTAACAGTTGTCTGGTGAAGCCAAGAATTTATGTATGGTATTGAAACATAGCTGAGGTTGAAACCTTGGTGGGCTTTAAACTATTTATAAAATCACATATTTGCCACCTGTACTGGAAAGACACAGAGAAGGATGGCAAGGCAAATCTTACTGCAGTCAGATGACTCTTACTGTGTTTTGTTCTTGGATTCCACTGTAGCTCTATTGCATATGTTCTCTTTCCCAGCTGCAGTCTCATCTACCATGTTATACAATGTCTTGAACTTTCCTGCTGGAGTTGTGCCAGTCACCACAGTGACAGAGGATGATGAAGAAGAGTTGCAGCAGTACCAAGGACAATGTGGTGATCCCTGGGACAAGAAACTGAAAAAGGTCTGCCTGGATTGAGGTGGAATTAGCAGGAGACATTTTAACATTTAATGATTTCTCACACTTCTTTATTTGAAGTTTGATGTCAACATGTATAGCCCTCAGATTTGGTACTTGATTTTCAGAGATGAATTTTGTCCTTTCATTTAACTGAAAAAGGCAAGTTTCAAATTTTGAAGTTAATATAAAGTTTAGTAACTAATCTAAACCTGATGAAATTTGTACATCTTCTGTCAAACACTGACTGCAGGTCAGGGCTTTGCTGTACTACTTCTACCTCATGATAATTCAGCAGTAACATGTAGTTGAGGAGCTGCGGTGGCTCAAGTGGTTAAGACGCTGAACTGCAGGCTGTGGAAGGTCGGTAGTTCAGCAGTTCGAGACCCGAGTGTGCCGCATGACGGAGTGAGCTCCCGTCTCTAGTTCCAGCTCCTGCCAACTTAGCAGTTTGAAAGCAAGAGATTGCAAGTAGATAAATAGGTACCACTTCGGTGGGAAGGTAACAGCGTTCCATGCGCCTTGGTGTTTAGTCATGCCGGCCACATGACCACGGAAACGTCTTCGGACAGTGCTGCCTCTTCGGCTTGGAAACGGAGATGAGCACCGCAACCCTAGAGTCAGATTCAACTGGCTTTCGAGCAAGGGAACCTTTACCTTTACCTAACATGTAGTTGAAGCAGATACATGATGTGATATCATCATGCTCATTAAATTCCTGATGAGAAGAACAGTGTTTCACATACAGAGTATAATAGCAAAATGCCATGCATGTGCATTTAGCTAAATGGGAATGGGAGATTCAAGGAAGAGATGAAAGTCAGCATGTAGCTTGGGCTTCAGTAATCATAAATATTGACACATCTGATATTGTTAAAAGCGGAGTGATATTGCATGTTGGCTGTCAGGTACCTTCAAGTGAATTTTGGATGACAAACATAGATGCCAAATAGAAAATATTTGCCCAGAGGACAGTTGGAAAACAATCACCATCAACATTTGCAAATACTATTTCTGTTTGGAGCAAATTTGTTTAGTTCCTAAGTAGAATACTGTGGGTGGTAAATTCTGGAAACTATTATCTGTAGTGAAGAAAGAATTTTTGCATGCTCCTAGGTGACTTGAGATGACTGCTGTTATTCTAATGAGGAAATTCATTATTCATTTGAATTTATTTTAGCACATGCAGGAGACCAAATAACAGATTATTTAGTCTAGAGATTTAGTCCTGAATCTCTCTGCACTATTGTTGTCTGAGTTCACCTTTGACCATAAGAAAGAGGATGCCATACCTGAATTATTTAAATAACAGCCTTATTTATTCCAGTCAGTATCCATCCTGGTCAACTAGTATTATATGTTTACTCCATGTGTATAAAATATATGGTATTTATTATGTATTTTATTTTGGATTTTTACACCATCTTTTGGCATTGATCCCAAGAGAGCAGGTATACATAGAGAGTTGTGCATGCTTATGTATACAGGACCCCTTTTGTTCTTGGAGCAAAATTTTGCACAGGTGTCTTTTCTGCTTTAGAATCATAGAGTTGGAAGTGACCTCGAGTGTCATCTAGTCCAACCCCCTGTACAATGCAGGAAATTCACAAATACCTCCCCCCCCACACCCCCAGTGACCATGTAAAGATGAGTAAAAACCTCCAGGATCTCGAGCCAAACTGGAGAAAAATTGCTTCCTGACCCCAAAGTGGCAATCAACATTTCCCTGGACATGTAAGAAAGGGCCACAAGAACTAAGCACTGATGCAACCCTTCCTGCCCTCCCTTTCATGATAAGTTCACAGAATCAGCATTGCTGTCAGATGGCCATCTAGCCTCTGTTTGAAAACCTCCAAAGGAGAGCCTGCCACCTCTCTCTCATACTCTAGGTGAGATATAACCAGAGCAGAATAAAGCGATACCATCACTTTGTGTGATCTGGACACTATACTTCTGTTGATACAGCCAAAAATCGCATTTGCCTTTTTAGCTAATGCATCACACTGCTGACTCAGGTTCAGTGTATGCTAGGTAACATTAACTCACAGTGTATGCTAGGTAACATTAAGACCTCTAGATCCTTTTTGCTCTCTCCCATCCTATAATTATGCATTTGATTTTTCCTACCTAAATGCAGAACTTTACATTTATCCCCACTGAAATTCATTTTATTTCTTTTAGCCCAGTTTTCCAGCCTGTCCAGATCATCCTGTAACCTGACTCTGTCTTCTACCGTACTCGTTACCCCTCCCAATTTAGTATCATCTGCAAATTTAGAAGCATTTCCTCTATTCCTTCATACAAATCATTTATAAAGATGTTGAACAAAACAGGTCCTAGGACAGATCTTTGAGGTACTCCACTTGTCGCTCCTCTCCAAGAAGATGAGGATCCATTCACAAGCACTCTTTGGGTGCAGTCGGTCAACCAGTTACAGGTCCAGCTAACAATAATAGGATCCAAACCGCATTTTACCAATTTGTCAGCAAGAATATTAAGTGGAACCTTATCAAGAGCCTTACTAAGATCAAGATAAACTGTCTACAGCATTCCTCTGATCCAGCAAGAGAGTAACTTTCTCAAAAATGAGATGAGGTTAGTCTGACATGACTTGTTCTTGAAAAACCCATGCTGGCTCTTAGTAGTCATAGCTGTCCTTTCTAAATGCTCAAGGACTGTCTGTTTGATGATTTGTTCTAAAACTTTCCCAGGTATAGACGTCAAGCTGATGGGTTGGTAGTTACCTGGATCCTCCTTTCCCTCCTTCTTGAAGATGGAGACAACATTTGCCTGCCTCCAATCTTCTGGCACCTCACCTGTTCTTCAAGAATTCTCAAAAATAATGGACAGAGGCTCAAAAATTACATCCGTGAGTTCTTTTAGTACCCTTGGATTCAGTTCATCTGGCCCCGAAGAATTAGTTTCATTTAAAGAAACTAGGTGTTTATGTACTACCCCTATGCTGATCCTAGGCTGCAACTCCCTTCCCTCATTATGTGTTCTGTTTTTGCCATGTTGAGTACCATTTCCCTCACAAGAGAAAAAGTAGGAATTGAGCAGCAAGCACTGGTTATTTGTTTATATTCATCCTTGGTTATAAGGTCCTCCTCCCACTTTCTGAATGAGTCTTTTTTATTTCTCAAGTCTTTCGAAAGCTGTTTATGGATCCACCTTGGCTTCTTTAGGCTCCTCCCCATTTTTCCTTCTTATAGTAATCGTTTGTGATTGTGCCTTCAGTATTTAACTTTTAAGAAACTCCCATCCCTCTTGAACTCACTTCTCCTTAAGTATTTCTGACCATGGGATTCTACCCAGAATAACTTTAAGTTTGTCAAAATTTGCTTTCCTGAAGTCCAACCTATATGTTTGACTACATACAGCTTTTCTCTTCCCCAGGACTGTAAATTCCAAAAGTACATGGTCACTACCGGTACTACCCAGGGTGCCCACTACTTTCACCTCATCAACTAGTTCTTTCCTGCTGGTAAGAATCAAGTCCATGACAGCAGATCCCTTTGTTTCCCTCTCCACTTTCTGGAAAATGAAGTTCTTAGCCAGACAAGTCAGGAATTTATTGGACCTTTCATTTTTAGCAGAGTTGGACTTCCAACAGATATCTGGGTGATTGAAATCTCCCATGACCACTGTGTCCCGTCTCTTTGAGAACTTTGTAATCTGTTCTAGGAGTGTCTCATCCAAGTCCTCTGCCTGGCTTGGTGGTCTGTAGCAGACCCCCACCATAATATCACTACTATTTCTTACTCCTTTTACTTTTAACCAGAGGCTCTCAACTGGACTTCCATGCTCAGATTCATGTATTTCCTCACAAGTATATACTTCTTTTACATATAATGCAAATCCTCCACCCTTCTTTATTTGTCTGTCCCTTTTAAATAAGTTGTACCTCTCAATCCAGTTTCCAGTTGTGAGTGTCATCCCACCAAGTTTCAGTAATGCCTATTAGGTCATAGTCCCCTTCCTGTATTAGGACTTCAGGTTCCTCCTGCTTGTTTCCCATACTCTGCTCAGTGTAGAGACATTGGAATCCATGTTTTATGCAACCTGAGTTTTTTGTTTCTATACTTACCTGTGAGTTAATGTTACCTAGCATATGTGCCACTCCCCGCAGAACTTTAGAGTTCTTATCTCCAGTTATTGGCATCATACTAGGCTTTGCATTTTTGTCTCACTCCCTCATAGGATTTAGTTTAAAGCTCTCCTTATTAGGTTTGCAAGGCTGTTTCCAAACACATTTTTCCTACCCTTGTGAGCTGCAAACCTCTCCCAATAGAAGAGCTTCATCTCAAAAGCATAAGCTATGGTCCAAAAATACAAACCTTTCCTGATGATACCATCTACATAGCCTGTCATTCTTTTGCAGTACTCTTTTTTTCCCTTCCTAAGCCACAGCCTTTGACAGGAAGAACTAATGAAAACACAATCCGTGCTCCCAATTCCTTCACATTTTTACCCAGAGCCACATAGATCACGTGCACAATTAGCCCTGCCATAGGTGTGAATGCTGGGTGGATTTAAAGGGCATGATCAGACACGAACATCTGGGAAGTGCCCCGCACCTGTTGGCAACCCATTTTGCTCCACCACGGAAGTGGAGTAAAAAGACACCAGGGGAAATCTGGTAGTAAATGGGTTGTGACAGGCCATGGACGGAGTTCCCCGTGTCTGATTGCTCCAGCACGCTCTCAGGGCGTCGGGATGGTCTGATCAGGCCATCCTGACTCCATGCTGTTGTTTCCCCCCACACACGCTTCTCAGTTGCTCATGATCACAAACTGCATAGGGAGACCTCAGTGCGGAGATGCGATTCCTCGATTCCTCGTGTAAGTGCATCAGAAACAAACAGCAAAAAAAAAAAAAACCCAACTCACCCGCGGTTGTGTCTGATCACACAGTGGCAGGCTGTGCCCACAGCTACCAGGGACTGTGTGATCGCGCAACTGTGGGTCAAATTCCTCCAGAGGAAATAGCCTCGCTTTCCCCCCACTTTATCTCATGTGTGTGACTGCCCCATAGTCTCTTTTAATACGTTCTGGGCTGTGCTGAGCAGTATCATTTGTTCCCACGTGGATGAGCAAGAAGGGACAACAATCCGTGGGCTTGATGAGTCTTCCTACCCTTTCCATCACATCCTGGATGTGTGCACCTGGTAGACAGCATAACTCTTGAGACAACAAGTTCGGTTGGCACACTTTAGCTTCTACCCCTCTTAGTAGGGAATCCCCAATTACCAACACACTCCTTTTCCTATATTGGGAAGCAGAAGCTAACCTTTAGCTACTATGAAGATGGAGCCTGTGTTCCTGAACCTGTGATCCTATTGATGTTTGCTTGGGAGTAAGCCCCATTGACTACAATGGAGTTTGCTTCAGAGCAAGCAATGAGACAATGAGGCTGTGTGGTTTTCAAAGCTTGGGACTCAGGCTCTGAGCATTTTTGATAACTTTTTGCATGTCTCTTGCAGGCTGTGGAAGGTACAGTGGGGCTTCCTGTGGCTGTGCAGTGTGTGGCCTTACCATGGCAAGAGGAATTATGCCTTCGATTCATGAAGGAGGTAGAGACACTGTCCTGCAAGAGGAGAGGGAAGACGTCCATATGACTTGGCCAAAGGAGGCAATTGGTCTAGAATGGATACAATTATACAGTAACAATATGAAGTGTTATACAGTCTTGGTTTCCACACACAAAAAAGCACTTCTTTGGCTCCACTGTAATATTTGCTTTTCACAATTCCTGTTGAAGGAAGCATTTGCCTGAATTACCAACTTCTGCAGCTCACCAGATACTTTGGTATTTATTCAGATTAACTGGGGCTAGAAGAAGTGGTAAATGCCACATCAGTGGAAGGCAAATGTCACGGTTCCAATCTGATTTCCTGTCAGTGAAGAGGGATCCAACACCCCCCCAAAGTCTGAAACAAATCAGGTAAAAGAAGCTCACCCCATCCAAAGCTAGCAACACAGTCCCTTCAGGAACATCAGCTTTCCCAACCAGCATTACATTCATTTTATTTTAACTTGGTTCTAGCTGGTTTTCCCCAACATTGGCCAACAGCAAAGACTGCCACTTCTGATGGTTTAGTTGATGAAATAATATCATTGGATGTCATCAGGGGTCATTTCGTAGAAAAAGAGCTAGGGGGACTCATTAGCATAACTCATTAGCATATGCCACACACCCCGACATCACCAGAAGTGTGTGCTCCCCACAGCCGGCGGCGCCCTCCAGCGGGCACCAGCAGTGAGCTCCAGGCCCCGCCCTCCCGCACCTCACCCGGGGGGATGGCGTCCCCCCGCGTCCCCCCCAAATGACCCCTGGATGTCATTATACTGATGACACCTGAACCCAAAACTCTGGATGATCTAATTTAGCAGCCTAACCAATCCTGGAAAGTATCAGCAAGGAAACGGAGCCCCATGAAGCACAGCAAAGAAGAACTCAGAACTATGGATTCCTTATGCTCAAGGACGACTCTGTTAAGTATGGTCTGAGGAAATTACTGAAACCATTCAAGACAGTACCCTGACATTCCAACTCTACAACACCATGTAGCAGAATTGAGTGGAAGATGAAAAGGAATGCATTTCCCTTGTCCATCTATAAGTGGATATCATCCACCAGAGCTGCTAATGCCATCTCCATTTTAAAAAAAAAATCAGGCCTGAAGCCTGACTGAAAAGGGATCAAGAGCAGACATATCATCGTCAGTCTTTCTACCCCAATATGCTCAATCACTTCCATTGAAAAGTTCCTTTGTTTAGAGAAGACTTCTTAAAATAAAGACCCATCTAAACTGGAGTGAACACAGGAGAGAAAGAAGGCCATACTAACTCTCTGCTATTGAAATCAAAGGGACACAAATGTGCTTGAGTTGGACACTATTTTGGCCAAATATTTTTCTTCGACAGAGCTTGGATCCTAACAGTTTTTCCACTGGTGTGAGAAGGGTCCTTCTGGACCCTGAAAAGGTTGTGCTGGTGATCTGTGTGCACAAAAACCAGACAGGATGGGTCTGCAGTTAGGAGGTGAATTGGACAAGATTGTACCTCCTCGCTCTTGCACCAACAGAAAAACTGGTAGCATCCAATCCTACAAGTTGTCGTCCCTCCTGTAAATGAATGTGAAACCCACAAATCTGATGAAAGATGTGACACTCTATTGTAATAAAATCCATGCTGACTGTAAAAATGAATTCATATCCCAGCTTTCTTCCTTCCAGTTTGGTGTAGTGGTTAAGAGCACAGACTCTAATCTGGAAGAACAGGGTTTGATTCCCCACTCCTCCACATGCAGCAGCTGGTGTGACCTTGGGTCAGTCATAAGTTCTTTCACAGCTGTTCTCTCAACAACAGTTCTGGGGAGACCTCTCAGCCCCACCTACCTCACAGGGTGCCTGTTATGGGGAGGGGAAGGGAAAGGGATTGTAAGCCGCTCTGAGACTCCTTTGGGTAATGAAGGATGGAGTATAAATCCAACCTCCTCCTCCAGACAGCATAGATTGGGTTCTAGGAAGGTGTCCTATTAGTTAGATCAAACACACTTAGGTTCCAAAAAGCTGCTGTATCATGTGTCTTAAGATCATACCCTGGGATTCTGATGGCATGAAACTTAATCATTATAACATTATCCATTTTCATGTGGCTATAAAAAGCACAGGGTATTTTCCAGCAATATAAGGCTTGCTGCAGTAATTGTGCTTGTTGTTGTAATTTTGCAATGAAATTGTAATTTTATAATGAAATGCAATAGCAAGATATCTGCAATGACCCAAACAAATAACAAGGGAGTTATTCTCCTCCATTCCTAGCTCACTTCAGCATTAACATGGGTTGCAAGTCGCAAGTTCGCACATGCAGTATATGTGTGTAAGTTCTATGTGCATAGGCTCTGTGCATAAAAGCATCATCTACCCATGGAGATCAGTGATGGTGTTGTAATGTTCTTTTGTCTACCTTTAATGAAATGCATTAGCAATGATTCAAACACATAACAAGTGTGTTATGCTCACTTCAGCATCAACATGGATGACAAGTCAAAAGTATGTGCATGCATCATATGTGTGTAAATTGTATGTGTGTAGGCTCTGTGCATAAAAGCATCATCTACCCAAGGAGATCAGGTAATGGTGCCCATGGGCGTTGCCCTGATTTCCATCCCCCACACTGATATGTAAAAAAGGCCACACTCTGGACAAAATATGCACTGTGTTAGAAGATGGAAACGGAAAAATTCACCAACTTGAACTGTAGTTACTGTTTATTCTGTCATTATTCATTTGTTGCAACACTGTCCACTCTCTTTACTTTTGGAACATCTGGTTGGTAACTTTTTTATTTTATTTATGTTATTTATAGTCCACCTTTCTCACAGGGACTCAAGGCTGATTACAGAATGGTAAACAATATGACAGGAATGTTCCAGAATGTGAGTCCTCAGCCAAGTGGGAAAAGTGCAAGGGATGGACGAGACTGCAAGAATCTGCAAGCATCTGCCTTCCTTTGGTTTGAAGAAGACATGGTTCAGGGAGGGGAGTGTGCCAGAGTCAGAGAAGAGAAATGGCCCATGGTGAGTGGCAGGAGCTAGCTGGTGGAGTACGGAGAGCAGGATGTGTGTGAGCAATGCACTGCAGTCCGTAAAGAGGGGGATGGGACCAGATTATAACATGATAAGGCCCTACATAAAATGTGTCATTTAAAGAGGTCTCCTGATAAATACAATGCTTTATTTTCACAGAAAGGACACTGAAAATATAAATATGAAAGCCTTATTTTTGCATATATACCGAGGCACAAAGAAAAACGGATAGAATGACTAGAGTTTTCCTTGTTTATAAGCCCTTCCTAGTATGAGACACTAAATCCAGCTCTGGAAGGAGAGTACAGTATGAGGTACAGGGATTTTAGAACTTTCTCTCCCCCCCACCCTCCATCAAGTTGGCCTGTTAGGTTTTCAAGGCATGAGACATTCAGAGGTGGGTTGCCATTGCCTGGCTCTACATCACAGCCCTGGTATTCCTGGTCTCCCCTCCAAATACTAACCGGAGCCAGTCCTGTTTAGCCTCTGAGATCTGATGAGATTGGGCTGTCCAGGTTAGGGCTTTAGCACATTGGCTGAGCTCAAGTGCCACCTGCTGTCTGTGATGTGAATTATCAGCTCTTCACAGCCCTAACTCTCAGGGTCTGCTGCAGTACAGTTTAAAGTGGTTTGCTAGATCCCAGCTAGGGAGTTCTCTCCCACCCCTTCCTCCCTCACTGCTCTTACTGCCATGATGAATTGGCCCCTTTAAACACACTTTAAACTTTAAAGGACCATTATTTTCAATTGGTGTTAGACTTGACTTCCAGGCTCTGGAGGGCAGGTCTGCTGCCCATTGAAAATAATAGGCAGTGGCTGGGCCTCCAGATGAAGCATTGAAACAGTAAATCTTTAACATTTAAATGGAAATATTGGAACTGCCTTTTGCAGTATCAAGTGTTGCCAATCCAATACCAGAAATATCAGGCATTTTATCAGAGCAGCAATACCTGATTGCAAACCTCTAGAAGGAACTTCATGAACAGTGAAGATCTGGCTACTGTACTCCTCTTTCACTACCAATTTCACTTATTGTCTCTACCATTTTTTATTTTAGATTATAAATGTATGTCTTGCCTTTCTGTGCTCAGAAGGGCTGCCAAGGCAGCTAACAATTAAACATACATGATAAAATCACATTTTAAAATCATTAAAATCAATCCCCTCCAAAACACACACACACACAGTCATTAAAACAATTAAAAACATGGCTAAAATACCGACAAAAGCATGAAGCAATCAAAACATTGGTCAGCAAGCAGGGCTCACTGAGGGAACAACAATTTTTTTAAAAAAGTCTTCACCTCCTGGCAGAAGATGGCAACAGGAAGGGACAGATGAATCTCCCCAGGAAGAAAGTTCCAGAGCTTTGATGCCACTACAGAGAAGGCCCGCTACCAGATTGCAAGCCAGCTAACCTCCGAAGGCAGTACACCCAAAGCAGGGCCTCCAAAGATGACCATAGTAATCAGGCAGGTTCATAAGAGAGTAGGCAGTCCTTCAGGTATGTTGGTTCCAAATCATATAGGGCTTTGACGGTCAAAACAAGTAGCTTGAATTTTGCCTGGAAACAAATTGGGAGTCAGTGTAGATCCTCCAGGACTGGAATGACAGATGCTCCAAGACTGGGATGATAAGGTTCCTATGATCCACTCCAGTGTGTTGGGTACAGCAATCTGTACCAATTGACGTTTCCAAACACTTCTTAACGGCCGCCCTACATACAGCACATTGTAGTAGTGTAATCTAGAAGCAGCAAGGGCATCTACCACAATGGCCAGATCTTTACTGCCCAGGAAAGCTACAGCTAGTTAACCAGCTGAAGCTGGTAAAAGGCATTTTTGACCACAGCTGCCACCTGCTTACCTAGCATTAGGGCTGGGTCCAAGAGCAGCCCCATAATATGGACCTGTTCTGCCAAGGGGGATGCAGCCCCATCCAGTGATACCTTAAATCCCGTCTGGGAAGGGTGGTATATAAATCAAATAAATAGTAAAATCCCGGGTCAGACCTTCTGCTCACCAC